GGTTAATCACAATTGTTGCCCGTCTGCACACCTCCATGTTGTGTTTCCTCAGGAGTTTGTGTTTCTGTGATCTTTGCTATTTCACACTTACGGTATGTCTGGACTACATGGCTCTGTTGACAGAGCCATATAGTCTGGACATACCCTAATTGCCCCTAAGCTGCTGCAGAATTTCTTAGCCAAGAGGGAAAGCATTTCCCGCACTGCCTGCACTGTGGAAATACGTCTCAGTGGCTTCCTTTCAGATATTCAGTGTCTCTTGCTGGTTGTGATGGCCTCTGACCATTATGTGGCCATCTGTAACCCACTGCTCTATAGGGCCTACATATCCCAACGGTTCTATAACCAGCTGGTGGCTGCGGTGTGTGCTGTGGGGTTGGTGGATTCAGTGACACTGACGTGTTCTATATTCCGGCTGTCGTTCTGCAGCTCCAACATCATCCAACACTTCTTCTGTTGACACAGCCCCACTGCTGGTCCTCTCGTGCGCTGACACCCGCATTAATGAGATTCTGGTATTCATTTTCCCATACTTCGTTGAGTTGAGCAGCTTTGTGATCCTCCTCCTCTCCTATGTCTGTATCATCTCCACCACCCTGCAGATCCACTCTGTTGAGGGCCGGCATAAAGTCTGCCTTGCCTGCACTTGCACTTACCTCTAGTGGTCATGTTTTTTGGCACCCACTTTTTATGTATTTACGACCCATCTCCAGGTATTTCATGCACACAATCTAAATGGCCTCTGTGTTCTAAATGCTGGTGATCCCCATGTTGAATCCCTTCATTTACAGGCTGAGGAACAGGGAGGTGAAGGACATCATGAGGAAAACCATGAACAAACTCCTAAGCACTTCTTGAATAAGTTTACCTCAGTATTTGTGGAATGACGGGGATTGGACCCAGGTGAATTCAATTCCCAGCCCACTCTAATGCCATTTTGCAGACCCTACGATAATGCTGTCCACTATTGTTTTCATGATTAACGTGTTTGTATTTCAAAAAGGCCTGCAGGCCCCAGCTGAGATCAGGGCTTCATTAGGGTGCTGCTGCAGGAAAATTCAAGGAGGCCCTTCTTTCACGTGTGTGAGTATGTAAATATATGTGACGGGCTTGGGAAAGTTTGTTATGGGAAAGAAGGGGAATTAAAATCTGCCTGTTTGTAGGGCGGATGGTTTCATTAGGCATTTGCAAATGCGATCTGTGTGATTTCTTTGGATGAACCAAAGGACATTTTGCACACCATACTGATATTCTGCAGCCCTTTTTATGTGCTCTGTCGACTTGTTGTAGACATTGTCACCTGGTTTCTGTCCATGAATGAGGAGAAGAAAGCAAATACCCATCACAGTGGCCTTTATTTTCATGTAGGGGAGTAACAAAACAAGGAAGAGCCAGGGTACCATGTCCAAGAGAGAGCTTAGTTTGTGTGTCTTTGTGGCTGTACACACATTGTTAAGAAGCTGAGATTCTCCCTGGAGAAGCGGGAAACACAAGCACACAACTTTCACTCACATGGACAAAGGGATAAATTGAAACTGGGTCTTGCACCTCACAGGGGAAAATGTAGCAAAGGGAGGGTGTACCGATACCTCCTATCTTTGGCTGCTTCCCACCAACTCACACAAAGGCGAGTTTTTTATGGATAGTTTCAGGTCATGCCTATGGATGGATAGTTTCAGGTAATTCAAAATGGCTTTGTTTGTTGACAATAAGTGAACGTCTGACTAATCTGTCTTTATATCCACTAGCTAGGTGTCAACACAAGGAACGAGACTAACACCTGGATAAGAAGCCATTTCTGGGCAGCAAGAAGGTGGTAAACTAAAAATCCACTTTCTAACAAGCATACAGCTGGGATTCTCTGCCTCCTGACACTTTATCTCCTAAGCCTCAGCTGGGGATGGTTTTACTGGAAGGGAACTCCAATGATGGAAAGAGAAGGCAAATACCCAGAAAGCTCTCTTGCTCCCTTTTCTCTTCTGAAGGCACCAACACCATGTGAAGGAAATGGATAGTTGCACTGGGTTTGGAGAGGGTTCTAGCAGAAAGGCATCCAGCTGGTTGGACTTCAAAATCAGGTGGTGAGATAATTCTTTGCTTTGAATTCACTTAGACTCCTAAAACAGAATTAGTTGCATTTGACCTTTTACTTCTTTGTAACCTATTCTGACCTTTATGCCTCATTATTTGTAACCAGTTATTCAATAAATGTGTCCTTTTCTTAAGCCACTGCAGTTTTGTAGTGAATTATTTAGGAATCTCTACTTGAGAACCAGATTTTCACATCATTCTCTGTTAATAAAATGACAGGGGTTTTTATCAGCTTGAATTGATGCAGTAGTCGGTAGATATCAGTGTTGTCTTCAAGTCGTCAATGTTATGTCCAAGTCAAGTCTCAAGTCACTACAGTTCAAGTCTCAAGTCGAGTCTTGAGTCCCTAAAGTCACTTTTGAGTGAAGTCCCAATTCGAGTCTCAAGTCTTAATTTAAAAAATGTCAAATCACTTTTATACAAGCCATCAATATCGGCATTTCACCAAGTCAATTTAATAAAATTATCAAGTCTCAAGTTGAGTCTCAAGTCACAAACAATGAACCCGAGTCAGGTCTCAAGTTGAGTCACCTAGGCAACTTAAGTCAGACACGAGTTCAAGTCATGGGACTCGAGTCAACAACTCTGATAGACAGTACCAGCACACGTTCCATCCAGCATCACTAGAGTCTTTGACCTATAGGATAGTGCTCTGTGCTTTTGTACTGAAAAGCAGCATGTGATTCTCTTGTCCAGGAAGCTGCTGGAGATAGAGCCCAGAGCATCCCAAGGCAGTTTAGAAAGGAGTGTTAATTTCATATCATAATGTATAGAGTCTCTGGGATACATGGCATTCATGGGATTTGCTCAAAATTACCCAGTTGTGAATGAACGAAGAGTAGAATCTAAATCTTATGTACAAGGGCCTGATGCACGTTACACTGGAACATGTTGTGGTTTGGTCTGATTCTGAGCTAGGCTACAGCAGTGTGACTTCAGGTTGACTCTACTGAAATTTTTGTGGTTCTTCTGGAGCTATAATAGGGGAACTGAGTGAATACTGTGGCCCATGGCATCTACACGAAGGCTGGAAAATTACTTAAGGAGACATTTGGAAAGGTGGTCAACACATACACTGGAATACGCTCACCTCATTCTGGGACTATACTAAAGAGACCCCATGAGAGATGCAGTGTTTCAGACCTGCTGATGCTCTGGTGCCGATGTCCTGGCCCTCTATGTGCAGTTTACATAAGAAAAGACATGACAACTACCTTAATTGCACACCTATTGTCCTGGGAGCAAAGATGCCCTTGAAAGTACATCTCAACTCTCTCAAACCCCAGTTTATCTTCCATTTTCCCAGGAAGCAGCTGCAGATTTATTCAGGATAATGTTGGTATGGTTAGCAAACAGGGAAAGGTTTCACTCTTAGGCTACGAATGCACTACGGCAGCCATTTTTATGCTAATTAAGCATGGGAGATTTAAATCCCTGCTTCATTAGCAATTTTGGTATGTCTAATCTACAACCCTCTGGCAACAGAGGGATGTAGTCAACACATACCCCTAGAAAGAGAGAGAGAGAGAGAGAGAGAGAGAGAGAGAAACTAGCATGTCCTACATCTTTTACATTCCTCTATTGAGGTTGCCACAATGTTCACTGAAGGACACAGAAATTGAATTGTCCCCTCTTTAAGGAATTATCATTTCCATTAAAATTATCAGTTTTCCACGGAAGTGTTACGCTGGCCTTCTCACCAGACCATGTCTGTGGGATTCTGGTGATGTTCCAGGGCAGTTCAGCAAGAGGGGAGACCAACATGCAGCACGGGGGATAGAGTCGGATCATGGAAGAGACGGGTGGGGTGTGGTACCTGAGAGACCCCTGTGGCTTTTCTGAGATGATAAATTGAGTTTTCCTCCAAAAACGTTTGGTCTCCACAAGCACAAGAACAAATCCACTGTTTGTTCTTCAGCTTTACCCCATAAAAAATCAAGAAGGTGAATTATACCCCTAGTCTCGTATTTGGTAACTCTGATAGAAATTGCATCATTTAATACCACATGGGGGAAAAAGTCCAAATTAATCCCCAGGGCACGAGCTACACTTTGAGTTTGGTTCACTGAGCACATTATTGAGATATTGTGTCTCTCTGAGCTCAGGTGTCCCTAGTTGATTTAGGAAGCACATCCCATTGATCACAGAACACAGTATAAAACTAACTGAATGCTCCACACTGGCATTTTCTGCATACGGTGAAATGCTACCACATCCCTCTCTTCTCAGCAGGTAGGTGCGGTTGTGCTGCATCAGGGTCACACGCCCACACAGATACCATGTTCCTGAGTAAGGACTGAATTCCGCATCTGTAGCACTAAAAGCCTCAGCCCCAGCTCCTCTTCCATGAGCTAAAGGAGCAATCCCTTTGGTTGGAAAAAACCAGACAATTACGTAATCACCGAGTCCAGTGCTTTCTGGAAAGACTCAGGGTTGTCCTACAAACTACAGTGCCTGCGACTGTCAGATGTCAAAAAGCTTAATTAGCACAAAAGCCGCCCTTACTGCAAAACTGCATGCTGAGGCACAGACATTGTCTTGCCCAAAGAGGACATATGTTTACTGTCACCGCTTTTTCAGCTGAGGAATAATTTCTTCAGGCTAAGATGCTTTCACCTGATTCTCTCACAGCAATTACATGAGTCACTGTTTTTTTCTTTGCTTAGTGAACAGGGGTGTTATTGTGTAGGGTATGATTCACCTGCCTGTCCTGGTATTTGTAGAGTGTCTGCATTGTATGTAACAACTAGATTGACCAGCTGTGAACATCTGGCTCTGTGTCCAGGTACTGGTGTCCATTATGTAACTGATTTCCATTTTTCTTCAACTATTTCATTACAGAAACGCAGGTTTCCCAGATCTTCCGTCTGCCCACATCTCTGCTGCTGGCTGATGTCTGCTCAGAGGAGATGGAAGAGGGAAATCACTCCATGGTGACTGAGTTCATTCTCTCAGGGCTGACAGATTGTGTGGAGCTGCAGCTCCCCCTGTTTGGGGTGTTCCTTCTGATTTATGTTGTCACCCTGGTAGGAAACGGGGGGATGATCTTGTTAATTATCACTGACCCCAGACTCCACACCCCTATGTACTTTTTCCTTGGCAATTTGTCTTTCTGTGACCTCTGCTATTCCTCCATAATTTCCCCCAAAATGCTGCAGAATTTCTTAGACGAGAAGAACAGCATTTCTTACACTGCCTGTGTTATGCAAATCTATCTCTTTGTCGCTTTTTCAGATATTGAGTGTCTCTTGCTGGCTGTGATGGCCTATGACCGTTATGTGGCCATCTGTAACCCGCTGCTCTATACGGTCACAATGTCCCACAGGGTTTGTAACCTGCTGGTGTCTGGGGTGTGTGCTGTGGGGATGGTGGATTCAATGATACTCACGTATTATACATTCCAGCTATCATTCTGCAGCTCCAACATCATCAACCATTTCTGCTGTGACATACCCCCACTGCTGGCGCTTTCCTGCTCTGACACCCACATAAGTGAGATTGTGATGTTTGCATCCATGTGCTACATTGAAGTAACCAGTGTTGTGACTGTCCTCCTCTCTTATGTCTATATCTTCTCCACCATCTTGAGGATCCACTCTGCCGAGGGCCGGCGCAAAGCCTTCTCCACCTGCACATTCCACTTGATTGCGGTGGTCATATTTTATGGCACTGTCCTTTTCATGTATTTCCGACCCTCCTCCAGTTATTCCATGGACAACGACAAAATAACCTCAGTGTTCTACATGCTGGTGATCCCCTTGTTGAACCCCCTCATCTACAGCCTAAGGAATAAGGAAGTGAAGAACGCTGTGAAAAAAGCCATGAATAAACTCCTGACTCATTCTTGAATCTGTTCTCCTCACTGTGAGTTGAAAGATGGGGAATGGAAAGAGGGAATTATTGCAAGATCATTTCTCAGAGCCCGTGGTGATATTGTTCATTGTTATATGTGTATGGTTTTATTAATTTGTTTGTATTCCAACAAGCGCTGCTGGCCCCCAACTCAGATCAGAGTTTGGGGGCTTTATTAGGCTATTACGCCAGAAAAATTAAAGGCGTCACTGCTTTCACATGTGAGTATGTAAATATACGTGACATACTTTTATAGAATGGAGTAGTTTCTGTTGGAATAGAAGAGAGGGGCAGGGAGCGTACCTCCCTCTTCATAATGAGGTTGGTTTAATTGTGCATTTGGAAGCATGAAGTGCATGATTTGTGTGTTTAAGGGAAGGGAGTTTGGCACAACGTTGTGATACTCCATATGGTGTTTGGAGACATTGTCCCCTTGTATCTGTCCATGTTTAAGGTGAAGAAAGGACAGCTCCATTGCAATGGTCTTTATTTTAAGTTAAGGAGAAATACAAGTAGAAAGAGGAAGGGCAACATTTTCAAGAGAGAGCACTGTATGTGTGCCTCTGTGATGCCCACACCAAAGTGAGTACAAAATAGCATTGACAGTGTGCGTTTTCCCTACCAAAGGGATACTCAACCTACGGCCTGTGGGCTGCTTGCAGCCTGTGGGTTTGTTTGCAGCTGCGGCCGCAGGTGGGATCTTTTGAACACGGCCTCCATTAGGAACATGCTCCATAATAGTGACTTGATATAATGGTCTTCTGTTGGGATGCATTTTAGTAGTTACATTCCTGGCCTGTCATTGCTCATTAAAAGTGCTGTTCTATGGGTGGAAATGGGGTAACTATTGCATTTGATTAATATCAGCAGAACTGACTTAAGTGAGACCTATGTGTTGCGTAGCCTTTCCTTAATCTTTGTGTTCATGCCTGTCAGTGTGAAAGAAGCTATTTGCATATTGTGACGGGGTGCGGTCACAGATGCCCCCTCGGGTTGCCTCTTGGGGTGCTGACATGGCCACTCATCTTCCTGCTCTCTGGGGCTCCTCACCGCCCGGTCCTGCTGGGCCTCTCCGCTGGTCACCCTCAGCCAAGGCCCCAAGCTGAGGTCCCTGCCCCCACCGAGAAGCAGCACAGACACTGAACCACTTCAGGTCCAAGGAGAGTGCAGTTTAGGGCCCAGCCTCCTGAGAGAGCACCCCCCAGATGGGGTCAAACCCCCAAAATTAAGGAAGTCTCCTTTAGCAATGAAAGGGGGAATGTGCACATTGGTTACCCTTCCCTCCCCCCAGGTAACAATCACTTACACTGGGTCTGATAGAAAATAAAAACGGTTTTATTAAGAGGAAGCCATAGGATTTAAGTCGTAATAAGAGAAAGTCGGCAGAGCAAAGTAGGTTACAAATCAAAAGAAACAAAACCGCTTGGCTGATTCTCCACTGAAGCCTCAGTGCAAACTTAAACTCACCCTAAAACCTCTTTTCCAGTTGCCACTCTAAACTAGGTCTGTCTTCCCCCACCCTAGGGTCTCAGGCTCCTTCCTTCAGGTGCAGCCCAGCCAAAAGACCAAGGCCTCTCCTCTCCTATTCTTTTTGTTAAAGAATTGAGGCCCCTCCCTACCAACCACTGCTCAGACTGAAGGACAAAAGAGATAGTTTAACAGTTGAGGGTAACACCCTCCATGTCTTTCATTCACATGTTTGAAACCTACAAAGTATTCCCCATTCCATGTGTCTAATTTTCCACACACAAATGGTACATACAACAGAGTAAGGTAAACCAAACCAGCAGGTCATTGCATGAAGATCGATGGGTTACATGAAATAATTGGCTCAAACCACCTTTGAGTTATGTATATTCATGTCCGTGAGTCCATTTCATAAAGCATGGGGGGGGGGTCTGTCACACATATATTTGCATGTGTATGCAATTACACAAAAGTTGCAGCCCTTGGCATGTGCTGTGAGTATCATTGTGGCCCCCGGGGCTTCCAAACTTGAGTAGCCTTGCCCTACAACATAAACTGAAGGATAAAGTCACTTCAGACATGTACAACATCAGCAAGTATGTGATAAGTTCTTCCTCTTAGTTCTGTTGGAAGGTATTACTAGACTCGCTAAATCAAACTTTGGAAAATTGATCACGGCAGTATTGATCTTCCACTTGATGAAGATGTGGTGTTAGAAGCCTATCCAGTCTTGATTTGAAGTATTAAATCCACCATGTCTCATGATCTGTTTCCTTACTGGTGGTTGAAAAGTCGCTCAGATTCCTATCAGATGGAGATTTGGGTCTTTGGTTTCAGTGGAGCTGTGCTGATTTACACTAGCAATGTGGCCCAATGACTCCAATGGAGACACAACCATGTACACAGGCTGGGGATCTGGTCTAATTGTGTGTTTCCAGGTGATGGCTACTTCTCTTCTGTCTGTGCATATCAGCCAGATCTAGGCAACATGCAACCAAACCACAATCATGCTCAATGTGCATAAGTAGCAAGTCTAAGGAGGCTGGTCTGCCTGTGTGACATCACTACAAGCCAGAGGAACCTCATGTCCACCCTGTTCCGATGCTTGTGGGAGAAGTCTGGAGTCTGGCACACCTGGGTATCACTCTCAGTCCAACAGGCTGGAGGGAGACGCTCAATGGGATGCGAAAGCAGATGTTAACCACATTTATGCACCAGCACCCACAGGACTGGGACAAGTACTTACCCCACCTGCTGTTCTCCTACAAAGAATTGCCTCAGGATTCCACAGAGTTCTCCCCATTGAAGCTACTGATCGGGAGAAGAGGGAGGAGACCCTTGGGATTGCTGAGAAATGAGTGGGAGGGGAAGGCTGCTCCTCAAAGGGAGTCAGTGGTGGAAGATGTACTGGCTTTCAAAGAAAAGGTCGCTGAGCTCATTGGCCTAGCCAAAGAAAACGTGTGTGGGGCCCAAAGAAGGCAGAAAGTCTGGTATGACCGTATTGCAAGTTTCAAGCAGCCTGGGATGGCCCCTTGAAGGAATAGGAAGCCTAATCCGAACTAGCTACTCCGTGCCGCGTGTAGCCACGTGGCATGGGGTCCGAACTAGCGGGCATTTAAAAATGGCGCCGGCTGGCATCATGCAAATGAAGCCCGGGAAATTCAAATCCCGGGCTTCATTTGCAACTCCGAATGACTACATTACCCCCCTAGTTCGAATTAGGGGGGTAGTGTAGACATACCCTAAGAGAGGGGGAGTCCACTTCCTCACTACCCTGGGCCTCACCTAGGACTATTGGCAGGCACTGTTGGATCCAGATGTCAGGCTGAACTCAGCATTTATCACCCCTTTGGGGCTCTATAAGTTCCTAGTTCCGCCTTTCAGCCTCAAGGGGATGCCTGCCACCTCCCAGAACCTGGTGGACCAGTTGTTGAAGGGGCTGGAGGGTTTTGCCATGGTTTACATTGATGATATTTGTGTTTTTAGCTAGACTTGGGAGGACCCCATATCCCAGGTCAGCCAAGTGCTGGACTAGCTTCAGGGGGCTGGGCTGACTGCAAAGGCTGGGAAGTGCAAGGTGGGGAGGAATCTTACCTGGGCCATATGGTGGGGAGTGGCTGTTTAAAGCCAGAGCTGGCCAAGTCAGAGGCCATCAGAGATTGGCCAACTCCCCAGACCAAGGAGCAGGTCCAGGCCTTCATTGGCATGGTGGGGTGCTACCAGAGGTTTGTGCCCCATTTTAGATCCATTGCCACCCCCATCACTGAGCTGTGTGAGAAGGGGAATCCAGACAAGGTAGTCTGGACCAAGCAGGGCTAGAGGGCTCATTGTGCACTAAAGGAGGCTTTGAGCAGGGCCCCGGTTCTGGTAAACCCGGACTTTTGACAAGCCCTTTCTGGTGCCCACCGACGCCTCAGACACGGGGCTGGTGCGGTGCTAATGCAAGTGGACGGAAATGGGGAGCAACACCCCATTGTGTTCCTGAGCAAGAAGTTGCTGCCCCAGGAACAGAACTACACACCCATAGAGAGAGCGAACGCCTGGTCACAGTGTGGGCCCTTCGAAAGCGGCAGCTCTAGCAAGTTGGGCAGCATTTCATGGGGTACACCGACCACTCTCCCATGACCTGGCAGCACCCGATGAATGGGGCCAATTCCACGCCGCTGATTCTAGAGGTGGAGTCTGCTCCTGCAGGATTACAACATGCAGGTGGTCCATGGGAAGATGCTGACTAATGTTATAGCCAATGCTTTATCGTGGAGAGGGGCCCTAAACTTCCATAGATCCCTGGATATGTGACCCCACTCAGTTTGGTCTCGAAGGGAGGAAGAGATGTGATGAAGAGGGGATTGTATTTGCTTTGTTCTGTTGCATGTGAATTCTACTGTCCTAAAGTAGCTCAATGGGAAGGCCTCATTTTTCAGGGCGCTGCGCTAAAACTTAGATGTTGATGGGGATTTCGGGTGTGACCCTCACGAAGGGAAGCACCCCTCCTCACAGCATGTACAAAATGGCCGATGCCATTTGTAACTTGACTTCAGGAAGGGGTGCGGCCTAGTGGCACCTTTTATCCAGGAAGGAGAACAAAGCGCTGAGGAAGATCTCAGGTCCAAGCTACTAGGTGTGGAAGTCAGTCTTGGGTGGTGTGAAGGTGCATGAGGGAGCCAGAGGGCTTGGCTCTGAGCCCCCTCTCCCCAAGTTCCAACTCCACCTGTGGGGCGTTTCTGAGTAGTTATATTAAGAGATCACCCAAAAGCATTTGGTCCCCACCAATCACAGAACAGAGCCTCCATTTCTTGATCAGATTTATAAAATACTCAGCTTGAATTGAAAACAATCGAATGAAACACCGCTTAGCCTCACGCTACGTAACATTGACTGAGGTTGCATCTTGTAATTACACAGGAGTTAAGAGTGGACCAAATTAATCCCCATAGTGGTACACATTCACTGAGCACATTAATTAGGTGTCGTGTCCCTCTGGGCTCAGGAATTCCCAGTTGCTTCAGGCATCCAGTCCCACAGATCACAGATCTCCATATAAAATCCCCCAATACTCAAAACTGACATTTCTGTCAACATGTCTCTGTTCTCAGCAGGTACGTGCTGCTCTCCTGCCTCTCCATCACATGCAGGCAGACACCAAGGTGATCAGCAGAGATTCATTTCAAGATCTCCAGCACTAAACGCCTCCTTCTTCGCTCCTCTCCCTTGTGCTAAGGGGACCATCTATTTGTTTGGGGAAAATAGGCAGCCATGTAGTCAGTGATGCCAGAGTGTTCCATTATGTCTCTGGGGTTCTCTACAGACTAAAGAAAATGTCATTTTCAGATGCTAACAATGCTTAGCACAGCCCGTAAGATTCACTGCTAATTGACATGCTGAGCCACAGAGCTCTCCTCTCCCGAAGTGGGTGGAAAGATTGACACTCGTTTATTCTCATACCTTCTTGAAGTTGAAGGCTGCTATCAAATCCTCCCTCACTCTTCTCTTCTGCAGACTAAACAGACCCAATTCCCTCAGCCTCTCTTCGTAGGTCATATGCTCGTCACACTGAGATGGTTTCACCCGGATTCTCTCTCAGCAGAGTCATAAGTCATTGTTTGCTCCTCTCCTTAGTGAACAGGAGTATTAATGTGGGGGGCATGATTAACCTGCGTGTCCTTGTATATGTACAGTGTGCACATTGTATGGAAATTCTAGAACCTCCAGCTGTGAACATCTGGCTCTGTAGACTAAGCCCTTCCCTGATATTGTACTGGTGCCTGTTAAGATATCCAATTTTCTTCAATTATTTCATTACAGAAAAGGGATAGTTTACCCGGATCATCCACCTGCCCACATCTCTGTAGCTTCTTGACCCTTGCTCCCAGAAGATGGAAGAGGGAAATCACTCGGTGGTGACTGAGTTCATTTTCTCAGGACTGACAGACCATCCAGAGTTGCAAGTCCCCCTGTTTGGGGTGTTCCTACTGATTTATGTTACCACTCTGGTGGGAAATGGGGGGATGATCTTCTTAATCAGGACTGATCCCCGACTCCACACGCCCATGTACTTTTTCCTCAGTAATTTGTCTTTCTGTGATTTCTGTTATTCCTCGATAATTTCCCCGAAGATGCTGCTGAATTTCTTAGCAGAGAGGAAGAGCATTTCTCATGCTGCTTGTGCTGTGCAAATGTATTTCTTCATCTCTTTTTCAGATTTTGAATTTCTCTTGCTGGCTGTGATGGCATATGACCGTTATGCAGCCATCTGTAACCCACTGCTCTATAGCGTCACTATGTCTCGGCAGCGCTGTAATCAGTTGGTGGCTGGCGTCTATGCTCTTGGGTTGGTGGATTCAATGATACTCACATGTTGTACATTCCAGCTGTCATTCTGCCGCTCCAACATCATCAATCATTTCTACTGCGACATGCCCCCACTACTGGTGCTTTCCTGCTCGGATACCCGCATCAGTGAGAATGCGATGTTTGCGTCCATGTGCTACATTGAAGTGACCAGCATTGTGACTATCCTACTTTCTTATGTCTATATCATCTCCACCATTGTGAAGATCCCTTCTGCTGAGGGACGGCACAAAGCCTTCTCCACCTGCACTTTCCATTTGGCTGCAGTGGGTGTATTTTATGGCACTATACTTTTCATGTATTTCCGACCCACCATCAGTTATTCCATGGACAATGACAAAATAACCTCAGTGTTTTACACGCTGGTGATCCCCTTGTTGAACCCCCTCATCTACAGCCTGAGGAACACGGAGGTGAAGGATGCCCTGAGGAAAGCCGTGAATAGACTCATAAATAATCATTGAATCTATTTGCAATGGGCTGGGAATTGAATTCACCTGTTCCCATTCCTCCTCACTCTACCAGCACTGAAGTAATGTAATTTTTCAGAGTTCAAGGTAGAGTTGTTCATTATAATATTTGCAATTGTTATGAATGTGTTTGTATTTCACAAGCCCTGTTAGCCCCAACTCAGACCAGGACTTCATTGACTTTTTAGGTTCTTGCCCCGGCATAATTCAAGCGGGCACCTGTTTCACATGTGGGAGCATAAGAATATATGTGATGTGTTGGGAAAGCATGGAGTTGTTTGTGTTGGGAAAGAAATGGAGGCCATGGAATTTATTTTCTGCATTATACTGGAGTTGGTTTCATCATGTGTTTGCAAGCATGAAGTGTGTGATTTCAGTGGATGATTCTAAAGGATCTTAGATCTCCCTCCTCATACCCTGTAGTCCTTCATGTGCCCTGCGGGGTTGATGTAGAGATTGTCACCTGGTTTCTGTCCATGCACGAGGAGAAGAAAGGAAAATTCTGTCACAATGGCCCTTATTTTCAGTTAAGGGGAAAAACAAGTGAGGCAAAGGTAACATTTCCAAGAGATAGCATATGGGCTGCTGTGAAAGTACATGCTGAAGTGAGTACTGTACAAAAGAGTTTTGAATATGCGTGTTTTCTTTATGACCTAATTTTACTGAAAAATAAAGACATATGAGACACTGGGTATTTATGTGACATCAGCATGTTCTGTGTGAAATCTTCCTCTTTCTTGCATTGGAAAGGCATATATATTCTCTGAAGTAAAGGCATTCTGGGAATTGTGCCAATCAGGGATCTGAGAGCACAGAGCTGGGCCAATCACTGATTTTCGAATTCATGGATGCTCAGGAAAACCTGTGTGCAGCCCGATTCAAATATACATATCCCGCAAAGCTTTGGTACCTTGAGGACATTGACCACAATTTATTTTAGAGTCCAAAGAAACTTTTCACACTACCATAAAAGGAATGTTTCCTCCCTTGTTTGGTGTAAAAACCAACACCATGAAGACTGACAAGATGGAGGGGAATGTTAGATGTGGTGTGGATGCTGCTTCCCTTGTAAACTTTAGCCCAGTGTTTAGAGCATTCTCCTGGGATGTGGGACACACAGGATACCTTTCTTCTCCCTTCCCCCATCTGATGAGGAAAAGTTATATGAAGTGGATCTTCCACAATGCTAGACAATTCCCTGGTGACTGGGCTATGGTCTGTCCTGTCTCATCCTCAGGGCTAGTCTAAGCTAATGCTACAAGTTGATCTAAGCTATGCTACTTCAAATCAACAGCATTTGATTAGTCCCAGTTTGCTAAAGCCCTGGCTGGAATAATTGAGTTGGGATTGGTCCTGCTTTTGGGCAGGGGGTTGGACTCAATGACCTCCTGAGGTCTCTTCCAAACTTATTATTCTGTGATGTCCATTCCGTGCTATGTCTGTGGGAGAGCTATGTAACTGAAGTAATGCACCTTAGATCAGTGTTTCTCAAACTTTTTTTATAAAGTACCCCTTTTAAATATCTATCTATCTATCTATCTATCTATCTATCTATCTATCTATCTATCTATCTATCTATCTATCTATCTATCTATCTATCTATCTATCTATCTATCTATCTATCTATCTATCTATCTATCTATCTATCTATCTATCTATCTATCTATCTATCTATCTATCTATCTATCTATCTATCTATCTATCTATCTATCTATCTATCTATCTATCTATCTATCTATCTATCTATCTATCTATCTATCTATCTATCTATCTATCTATCTATCTATCTATCTATCTATCTATCTATCTATCTATCTATCTATCTATCTATCTATCTATCTATCTATCTATCTATCTATCTATCTATCTATCTATCTATCTATCTATCTATCTATCTATCTATCTATCTATCTATCTATCTATCTATCTATCTATCTATCTATCTATCTATCTATCTATCTATCTATCTATCTATCTATCTATCTATCTATCTATCTATCTATCTATCTATCTATCTATCTATCTATCTATCTATCTATCCAGGGCTTGACAATCGGCAGCGAAATCCACTCACCAGCCCTGCACTGTGCATGCGCAAGACCCACATTGCGCATGCGTGCGCTGCCGGGGGACAGGGTGACCGGCTAAAATCTACTCACCACAGGCGAGTAGATTCAATGATTTGTCAAGCTATGTATATATATATAAGTACCCCCAGTACCTACAGTTTTCAGACGCACATTTTTTTCTACCATTGCAACACATTTGTACGAATAACTTAATCATAGTCGGGTGGGCGATTAAATTTTTGGGTGCAAAAAGTACAAAAATAATAAAGTGCTCTAAAACTTAAAACAAAAATTCAGTTTTCTCCAAATATCAGGTGTGTTGACATGCCCCCCAGACTTCTCTTGCATTCCCCCTGAAGGTACTCATGCCACTGATTGAGGAACACTGCCTTAGATCACCACACAATGTTAGACCAGCTCTGAGACAGCTCCATGATGGAACATAGTCTATGAGGGAGAAGGAGTACATGTCGATGGACAGTTGCTCTCCCATTGGTTTGGCATGTCTTCACCAGGCCTGATAGGTAGACTCCCTCATTTATCATGGCAATGTCAATTTAACCAGTAGTTCAGAGATGACCTCAGGCCTTCTTGTTAGAACTGTTGCATTTTGGAGAAAACTCAGGCCCAGATAGAGAGAGTGATTCCATGGACTGGTTGCCAGGGGCACCCACTCTAGAGGGTTAGATGTTCAACTTAATGTCTCTGTTCCAAAGGTTAGTTAGCTAGTTATCCACAGTAGAACAACTTTGAAAGGAGAATCTGAGAGCAACCTGGACTGGACTAGCCGATAGCTCAGGGGCTTGGGATTCTTTCTGCATATGCAGGAAACCCAAGTGCAAATCTTTGTTGAACACTAGACAAAGGGGGAATTGGACCTGGATCTCCCACCACACAGGGAAAATATTACAAATGTAGAACACACCACCGGTGTCACACCCCAATGGCCCCCTACCTCAAGGGGTCCCCCTGGGGAGAAAGGTCACCACTAAATATTGCTAACGCTATTGCAAGCATCGCAGTGCATTCTGGGGAATGGTCAAATGTGTGATTGCGGAGTGAATGAAGGATTCCTTTGCAGATCACGAGAGGTCAAAAGGGAGGGAACGAAGAGAGCAGCAAACGGGTTAACTCCACCCTTCTTCTAGGCCACAGCACACATCTGACTCTCGGCTGCTGACCAAGATAGAGGGGGGCCTGGAATCCACCGGCCAGCCATAAGAGACATTCAACTGAACAAATCTGCAGAGCCAACCCACAACAAGCAACACAAGCGAAGGCCAGTACAGAGGGAAGCAAAGGGAACAACAGAGTCTAGCTGGTGTGTTTTGGGAAAGTCAAGGAGATCACAGAAAGCCAGTTTGGACTGTCATGAAGAGTGCCAGGGCCAGAGGTCATGGAATGAACACCCCCAAAGGAGCCCAGGACTTCAAACCCTCCGAAGAGCTGGAGCAATTCAGAGAGATCACAGCGGACCCTGGATGACCTGTGCGCACAGGACTGAACTCCTGTCCACCCTTCCCCCTCTTCTCCTTTTGTTACCCCCAGGCCTGGGCAGCCTCAGGTACTGAGTGTGTGAGTATGAAAGTGGGTTAGGGCTTGGGATACTAACACTTTCTTCCTTCCTCTGAGTGATGTGGAAAGCACCCATCACTCTCCACTGTTATTTTATTATTCTATCAATAAAGCTTTAAAATTTAGACACTTGGTGTGTTCCGTCATCTCCTCCCCTAACGATCCTGTGGCCTCGGCCTGATCACCTGACTCCTCAGGCAGATTGGTAAGAGAAATCTGTCACACCGGCTCCTGCGTATTGCTGCTTTCTGACCACTAACTAAACTCTTTGCATACAGCCCCCTCCTCCACACACACATGGTTTTGGGGAAAGGCTATTAGAATAATTTGTGACATCTTTCTGAATAGTTTCTGGTCAGCCAAAACTGCATTGTTTTTTACAGTAACTTGAAAGTCCAGAAGAAATGTACCAATTTTTAGACATTTTGCATCTTCGTCATGGGAGCCTTTGAATTCAAGGCCCAATCTATATCTGGGTATTAATAGACTCATAGGATGGAACCTTGAATCTCTGAGACTGGTTGCTCTTAGCTTTTGTAGGGCAATATTAACAAATTGATCAAATGCATCAGTATTTGCTGATGGTCACAGTAAAGACAGACACTTCCCAGTTACCATAGAATTCTATAAATACAAAGTAAAAATGACTCTATGTCTTCACAACTATATTTTCGCTTTCCGTGTTCAATGATGAAGCGTTAAAAGATTCTTTTTAGAATGTAGCAATGATTTGGAATTTTAAAAAATGTCATCTGGTCTGTACAATGTGTAATTGCCTCTTCTCATTCCAATTATTTGGAAGCAGCATTTCCAAAAGCATTTACTACTTCAGGGCACAGATGGCGAATGACTCCAGTGGAGAAATACCCATTTACAAAAGCAGGGGATCTGGTCAAATGGGCGATGCCCATGTAGTGGTTACACCACTGAGCATGTTTATCCACATCCACCAGACCCAGCACAGTGCAGACAGGCCATGAGCATCTTTGGGAGGCACAAGGTGTCAGGAGGCCCTGTCATCCTGTTTGACATCACTACAAGCCAGGGGAGAATCCATATTCACTTTTCCCTAGCTCAGAAAGCCTGATGGGCAAACACAAGAGGTTGCTCCATGTGAGAGGCTGGGCAGGAAGGGATCATCGATATTTCAGCAACTGCCCGATTCTGCACCAGTAGGAAGAGAAGTGTCATTTGCCGATGCCATTTGTAACTTGACTTCAGGAGGGGGTGCGGCCTGGTGGCGCCTTTTATCCAGGAAGGAGAACAAAGCACTGAGGAAGATTTTGGGTCCAAGCTACTAGGTGCGGGAGTCAGTCTTCGGTGGTCTGAAGGCGCATGAGGGAGCCAGAG